ATATATATATATATATATATTATATATATATATATATATATATATATATATTATATATATATATATATATATATATATAGTTATATATAGTCTATAATTTTTATAGAAGTTTGAATTGAAAAATGATACTAAAATACCATTTTTCTCTTTTTATATCTTCTGGATCGTGTATTAACAGTAGTAGTAAGATAGAAGTAATTGCGCTTAAATTCTGTGTATAACAATTAGCTAAAAAATATTTGCTTTTGATTCCTTGTAGTTATAATAATGACATTATGGAAGATGTACTTGCAATAAAACTTTAAAAAATGTTTATATTATTAAATTATCTAAATGTATCTAAGCATCTAATGAAAGTTGTGGATTCTTGTACAACACCATTAAAATGGATCGTATTTAATACCGACAAAGTAGTGTTTGTAATTTATATTGCAATTATATGATATATAAATTATAGATATAGTGCGATCATAAACTGTGAGACTGTAATAACAAATAACGTATAAGCGAGAAAGTAATTTTATATTTTATATATAAGTGTAGCAGAAACCATCTATATGATAATGTACTCTTTATAAAATATGACTTATATGTATAATTAGTTCTTACATTGTTATTGAAAATTATGAGATATCGATTTTTCGCGATAAATTGTTTTTCTTACAAACATGAAAATAATATAGAAAATATGTAAATAGCTAAGCAGATTATATATGTCTTTGTATCAAAGTGTAAATTTAAGAAATATATAATGCTGAATATATAGTACACTTCAATATATACACAATATATAAACAAACATATAATATAATATTATATTTTGTTTTCTACATAGATGATTTAAGGTAGATCTAAAAAGAGCAAAAATTAAAATGTGTAATCCATTTAAAATTAATTTTATTTAATTTTATTTAAGTTAATTCAATCAAATTTAATCTATTTCTCGAAAATCCGAAAATTATGCGAATTTGTTATTTTGTTACGAAATAAATTTCAACCAGTTTGCTTTCTTATTTCCTGCAAATTCCTTATTTTCTTTTTATTTCCTGTCCCCTTATTTCCTTATTTCCTAGATGAATCTTTTTGAATTTTGTCTGAATCACTAGCAATATAATCTCATTGGATATGCACGACATCATAAAACGATTATTTAAGGAGTCGATTGATCATAATGGATGTCGCGTGGGCCATGACAGGGCGCGCGTGGTTGGTCGTTTTATCTCTTCGGGAAAAGCGAACGGAAGGTGAAAGGAATAAATGGAAGAGAGAGAGAGAGAGAGAGAGAGAAAGATACGATACGAGGCCCGGTTATTCTAAACGATAATGATCGCGTCCGGGATATACGGCGACTCGGTTAGCACAAACGAAAGTGCCGCCGCGGAGGGTGATGATGACGATGATGATCTAATCGTTATAAAAGCGTTCTTCGTCCAAAGATACATGAGGAGTGAGCGACGCATGATTATGCGTAAAAAAAAGAATAAATACATTTCTCTCAATATAGATTCACTTTAATTTTGATTTAACTTTTTATTTTTTTCTAATTCTTAGAAAAGAAACTCAGTAATTTAATAAAAAATTTTCAGGTCGTATGTGTCATATATCAGAACATTGATAAAAACAAAAAATACTTTGTTCTAATATTTTTTCTAAATATTTGTGTAAAAACTGAGCAAAATTCTCTGAACGGTTTGAAAATGATATAATTTTAATTTTCATGATTCTTATAAAAAGAAATAGCACATCGTTTAAGAATAATATCGAAATTAAATAGCATATTTAAAATAAATATTTTGTTAAAAAGTTATTAATTTAATATAATTGATTATTTTTATATTTCATATATATTTAACTTATTCGAACTCAAAAAATCTTTCTATAAATTATTAATTATTTTTATTTTTTGCAATGAATTTCAAGAGATATTCATAGTCAAATGTTTTCATCTATTAAGAGAAACGTTAATTTCGTTAACATTTTGCACTGTTTTGCATTAACGTTAATTTTTTTATAACCCAAATCTATTTGATATTTTTTATAACCCGAATCTATTTGATATTGTATAAATATGAGAAATATGTTCTTTTTAAATTTCGATAATTTTTTGCTACTATTGTACAGCTGAAACATCTTTAAATTGCGTTATTCTACATTCATGGAAGTGAAGTCATAAGTCAATTATTGATATATCTTTTTGTCTTTAGTTCGTCTTAGTGTCGGTTCACAATAGGTGATTTAAGCTTTAAGAAGTAAGAAATTGACCAATTATAATCGAATATGAAAAGAATAATCGATTATGATTGATCAATTTCTTACGGTTTAAAGATTAAATACTTATTGTGGACCGACACTTAATCACTTGCACATTTCCGTGTTTGCAATTGCGAATGAAATTAAATTGCGCATCTCCGAAGTGGATTTTAAATAATAATGATCGTAACGCTCGTGTCTCTTCTCTTTCCTACATCAGCTATATTATTTAAGAGGCGCGTGTTAATGAGATTGGCACGTGCCGTTATGTACGCTCACGCGTAAATAGCGAAGTTCATGTGCGTAACATTCCCGCGTAACTTTCTCATGGCAGCCACGTGTTCCGGGATCGTTATTATATATAGGCACCGGGTAGGACCTGCGAGTACGAACTATGAAGCTGCAATTATGCCTCGGAGGTCGTAGCCGAGGAGAAACAACGTGCGGGTCAACGAAGGGGGAATGCGCAGTGACGTGGTGTGTACGTGTATACGTTCCTGACACTTCATTAATTTCAGCTCGATAAAACAAATACCGCGCCGATAAAGATGCTCCGAGTATACCTGTAAAGGTTAATTTATCCGCAATACGTTACGTAAGATGGATGAACGATTTCCCGGATATTTGCTTTCACACAGTAGAAATGTCCAAACTACATCACAGAGAGATCCTAAAGATATCGCGATATCTTTAGAATACTTCTGTGATGTATTTTGGACATTTCTGTTGTGTGGAATAAATGTTGGCGAACAAGTAAAGATTCGCGTTGTCAACGATATGTTTCATTAATCGAAAACGATTGGCTTCGCCGTGGGCATGCTTGAGGCAAATCGACATTCAAATATCACGCAAAGTTGGTCCCTGGAAATTTTGGTTCATTATCGAACGCAGAAAGAATACTTTGCTAAAAATTTAATCATAGATACAGCTACAAATCTCTGAAAATAATTTTGTTGGGCCTTTAAAATTATTACGTACGACGTTCAAATTGATTACTAAAAGATCAAAAATTTTTACAGCATTTTTATCATTATCGTTTAGATCCTACGTAATAACTTTGATGGTTAACAACAACAAAATTATTTTCAGATTTATGTCTATTTAAATTTTTTTAGATTTGCCAGCAAAATTATTCTCCTCATAAAGTATCGGATCCGGAAGAGATGCCGCGGGTCTTTGGGCTTTGGAACGGGGAACCTGCAGGTTTCTCGTCAACAAGCTTTCACGTATAGTCAGCTCCGTGGGCGCACGCGTGCATGCAATAAAGTCCCGCTTAAAGAGGTAAGCGGCGAGGGTGAAAGGGTTAAAGCGCGTCCATGACCCGGCGATATCTCGGGGCGCGAAAGCGGCGCGTCATGGCGCAGGTGGGTTATGACGTGCCGAGGTGCGTGTAAGTAACAGCAAGATAGACACGTAGCGCCGGGTCGGTTAATAAAAGCCAGGCAATAAAAGCTCTCCTCGCCCTTCCGTCCGTCCTTGCCCCACCTCTCCCCGCCCCCTATTCGTCCGTTCTCGCAAACGAAACACCCGGCGCGTTCGAATATACACGGGGATATTTCACCGTCGAACACCGTCGGTCGTACACGAGCGTTTTCGATACTAATTCTCGCTAAAAGCTTTACGGCCGCGCTCGTGACTTTGATATGGTCGCCATTATTATTTTGCGTAAAGCGAAAATTTACGGGGATATTCCGTGCCGTCGGTCGGTGCGCTTTACGATTATTAGCGCAGTAATATTCCCCGATAATATTCCCATTTCTCGATAAATTCTCGATTCGTTTCTTTCTTTTTGGCGCGGCCGCATTGTGTTTTCGCAAGATCCAAGAATATCCGGCCGTGATTCTTTTGCTGTATCGAAACGAGTGACACCGACGTCGTCGCGTGCGTGATTTGGAAAATAGTACAACATTTTCAAACCAGTCAGAATCATGACATGCTTATACCGATGCAATAACGGAAACGAATACTAGGAATAAGGTGAAGAGATTACAAAGCCGAATTGCTTAAATTATTGAACATGTAAATTGTTAATAGATAGTAAAATAGTAAATACAATTACAATAAAAATTATAATAAAGAGATTACAATTAAGTGACTCTATAATTTCTATTTCGTTCTTAATTAGAAATTAATTGAATATCAAAGCTTTGTGTTTTATATACAATCTGTTTGAAATTGTCCATTCTTGATTCTAATTTTTTTTTTTTCAGATTTTGTTCAATTACTTTTTAAATACGCTAGTACATAACAGTAGTGACGTGCTACGCGCACGCCATTAAGCTTTTCATATTATATATTTTTATATTATGCGTTGATGGTAGCGACGTATCATCGTGATGAAAAATAGAAACTTATTCATCCTTGTTCATCTTGTTCTTATTCAAAACCGATTCAAAATTTCATTCGTTACTAACCTCGCCCGCTTTTTACAAATTGTCATTTGCAAATTGACAGTAACTCACGAAATAGCGCAGCGAAAGAAATCAATCACGAAAAAATGACAACAATAAACTTCGAGAAATGCGTAATCGACTTAACATCTCCTTTTTTATAAAGGATCCAATATTCAATAAAAAAACTAGTTTTTCAGAAATTCCTAGGAAACAAATTCTCCTATTGGATATCGAATGCGTTTCGAGAATCATAAAAATGAATTCGTAGTGAACTTCACGTCGATCACACGTCATTCTCAAATCAAAGCGTCAAACACAACGTCAGAGAACAATAGGATAAATATTCGTAAGTTTTCATCTCGAAATTCTAAAATTTTTAGTGAGAACTATCACCATAGATATATCCGAGCGGGCGAAGGGGGGAAGTCAAATTCGTACCGAAATTTAAAAAAAAAATTAAAGTAAAATTAGAATTATGATGTATAGAACTTAATAAACATTTTCTCATTCAAAATCAGGAACGAGAAGATATTCTAAGCTTTAAAATATCCAAAAAATTCATTAACGCAAAAAAATTGTTATTTATGTATAATAGAATTGATAAATTCTTCCCGAAAAAAATCTTGGATACGCCCATGATGATCATCGTGTATTTGTGTCCACGCCTGAAAAGCGGATGACGGAAAATTTCTATGTGTCGCGAAATTTCCAAGTTTCTTTATGCGTTTCTCTCGCGGCGCACGTTATCACGTTGTTGATCTTTCTTCCGTGTCAATAAATTGATGCCAAGCATTTTCAGATTTTGTCGCCCACTCGCCAGTAAATCTAACCTACAACTTTTAACAACATTGCCGTTAAGACTCAAATGATGATAAAAGGAATAAGAAACAAGAAATAAAGAATTAATATAGAATTAAATTTAGCCGTATAGAAATCCATTCAATGAATAATCAAGAAAACCAAGATATTCTTGAAAATAATTTTCTATTTTGTGCTTCTTTATATTTAATAATCAATATAATAAGCCGAGATAAGTTTCAAAGAATAGATTATATTATCGGTAGGTCTTAGGTATTTAATAATTTTTTTTTATTGAATTTATATTTCTAAATTCGGGATAATTAGTTATGTCGCGAATTACATACTGTTATTTTTAAAAGATCTGCGATGCGATAGCTCAAAACTTTTTCCAAATTTTTCTCTTTAATAAATCGATAATCAAAAATTCAGTTACTTTTTTCTTACAAGAAATCAGTTACTTTTTTCTTACAAGAAATTCTTACGAAAAATATCGGCACGTAATTCGCAATATAAACAATTGTTCCGAATTTACAGATAAATAAATTCAATAAAGAAAAATTAATAGATACATAAGATTTAATTTATCGAGTCTTCTATGACTTATTTTTTATATTTAATTTCTTATTCCTCATTCTCGTTCTCGCTTGTGTCTGAGCCTTTAAAGGTTACAGAATAGGCTTGCAGGATACCGGTTTGCGCGAGGGGGCGTCGATTCTCGCCGGAAAGATGCACTTTGCGCCGTAAGACTCCGGCCGCGAGATCGGCGCGCACTTTTCCGTCACGCGGGAAGAAGGGCGGGGGGGAAGGAAGAGGGGAAGGTGGAGGAGCAGCTGTTTCCAGGCTGGACGTAGCGGCGACGACGGATCGGTGGCGAACTTCAGTTTGGTTGCGACCGTCGCGCGGTGAGGTTGCGTGTTATAGAGTCGATCTCGCATCGCGTTATTTCGCGCCACGTGCAATTTGCACGCTCGTTCCTGGCTCTCTCCAACGGCGGCCGCTGCGCCCGAATTTCACCGGATCGAGTTCCGTGTCACGGCGGGAGAACGAGAAGACGGCTGCCTTCGTCGTCGCTCGAGTTCACCTACGAGAAGCAGCGTTGCTGATGAAAGTCCGAGATCGTTGGTTGGATCTTCTCTGCGTATAAGTAAGACTTCCTTTTTTTCTTTTCTCTCTCTTCCCTCCTCTCTCTCTCTCTTTTTTTTTTCTTCATGGACAACCGAACCTGCTGGCTCCCGGTGGGCGTACGTACACCGTTCGCACGATTGTTATTCGACACGCACCTTATATATTTATTATTAAGGAGAGACGACTCCCGTGTGCCGGTTTAAAAATTGATGGATATATGCATATGTCAGTTACAATCAGATTAGATGGGATCACTTAAATCAGTCGCAATTTTAAGGTTATTTATTTCTTACGCAATCTAAATTATTCATACACTGATCACATCAGATGTTTTTTTTTTTTTTTATTTTGACATGTTTTTCCAATGATCGTCAATTGTTTCTAACATATAATAAAAGACAATTTATGACCATGTGTTATCAAGATCGAGCGATGATATAAAAAAAAGAGATTAAAAACATTATTAAACATCAATGTTCTTTGAAATTTTGTTGACTTTTTCTAAATTTCATAGTTAAAATCAATACGCTTTTGCTGATTTAGCATTCATTCAAATTTAAAGTTTAATCAAACCTAAATTTTTCCGTGTATATAATGCGCTTGTTTTTCTTCTTTCGTTCCGTGAATTCATAATATTCCGATTGTAACCATCAGCGAATTGTTTTTCTAAATTCCATGGTTAGAACCAATACGTCTTTGCTGATTTAGCATTTATTTGAATTTAACATTCAATGGAGGAATTTAACATTCAACAATTTAAATTTTTCCGCGTATATAACACGATTGTTTTTCTTCTTTCGTCCCGTGAATTCATTCTGTAATATTCTGATTGTAAATCAGCGAATCAGTCACAAAGAAAAACAACAGGAGTTGTACACGCGTCAATGACGTAAATAGACCTTAAGGCCAAGAAGCATCGCATGTGGTTCGTACCAATTTCTCAGAAATTTTCATATATGCTAGACATTTTTCACCGGAAGGAAACCTTCAGAATCAGCCACATGCGACACATGTGCAAAGTTGTAACGTGTACGCGATATCACGAAATCTCTCAATTTTACGATTGATCTTTTTATGTTAAACGCAACTACGAGTCATATGACGACAAGCGAAGAGATAATTATATACTGTTGGTTAATATCTATCGACATTTACATAATTACAATGTATATTTAAATTTAAATTTACGTCATAATTTGCAAATGTTGACTGACTCGATATAAAGTTTTTATTTTTTATTGATTAATAAATACGAATCAATACTGCATTCAGTGAATGATATGATTAATTTGTTCAATCTTCCATTATCACTTCTATTATATGACTTTTTATAAATTTAAAACGATTGAATGTGTTTGTAAAAAGCTTTATTAATATTTTTATAGGAAAATCATGTTGAGTTAGATATCCAGTTATGGCTTTTTGAAGTTTGCTACATACAAACATATAGTTATATGCATGAAATGTATTTGATAGAAAGACAATAATATAATTGTAATAATACAGTTTTTGTATAGCAATTGTATATAAATATATATGTATTTATGTA